GTAGTCCTATGTCTTACTTTTTCTCCCTCCATTTCTCCCATCTTTTCTCCTTTACTCCTTCTCTCACTGTTTCTCTTTCTTCCTCTTTCTCTCTCTTTATTGCTTGTTCTCCCCACGACTAAATTAATGGAGCTATTCTCATTTTTTCACTCACTAGTAATTAAGTTTCATGTTGATCATTATCTATACGCAAAAAAGCAGATAAAGATTATACTTCTATTTATGGAAATAAAAAAAGTACAAAACATGTAAAAGTGGAATTATACTTATTCACATACTAGTGTTAGACACTGATTGCTGTTCACTCATATCACTCCTTTTTCTCTCAGGACATACAATTAGTCTACACGGCTATGTCCTTTTTTGTTTAGAAGTTCGTTGTGGCTGTATGATTGATTTCTAAACTATCCAGTGAGTTCAGAAGTTCAGCTCGGGCTCTTCAAACCTTCCCAGTCATGTCCACCAGCTTGATGTAGGCAAGCAATGTGGGTCTTAAAAAATCATCTGAGGGAGAGGAAATCAGGGTCATCTGCTTTAAATATCATGGAGCTAGGAAAGAAAGTCTGCATTTGAGCTATTAAATATTTTGAGATACTATTGTAGGGGAAGCAGTGTTCCATTAACAAACACAATCAATATCTGTAATTATCAAAGCCCAAAAGAATAAATGTAGAGGCTAAGTAGATTGACCTTCAAGTTGAGTTATCCCTTTTAAAATTGTTCTTTTAAAAAAGTTTTCAGAATATGTAATTACAAAACATGGATCAACAAAGTAGGGAGTTGAAGAGCCAATTTGTTGATACATATTTATGCACAATAAAGCAAGAAGTTCTTTATTTCCTAAGCTCTACAGATGCTTCTTAGAACCATTTCATCTACTAATTTTTGACATGAGTTTGGAATAGGTAAGGGCATTAATATTTTCTGTTAATTTCTCAGTTTGGAGCATTAGCACAAGCAGTGACTATCCAGATTGAGTTATAGATTACTGGTGTCCTTGTCTGGGGAAGTGGCTGCCTCCATCCGACGGCTCAGTTTCCATGGTGATATGCACTGGACACCTGAGCCTTCCTTCCCTAGTGGCTTGGTGAGGTCAGGGTGACTTTACAAAGAGGATATGCTAAAACCATAGGATAAGGGAAATAAAGGGACACAGCACGCAGAATTTGTATGTTTCCCACTGGATTTGATGTTTTCCTACTGGGAATGATAGATGAAAAACTAAAATAAAAGTATGTAGGTTTCTATTTTCATAGAAAATTCTAAAATAGGGAGGGAAGTTTTGTTTTCAAACAGGGTTGAAATAACTGACAGAATTTCTGAGCCTTTTTTGCCAAAAAAAAAAAAAAAAACCAAAACCACAGATTGATGAATTCTGTTCTCCAATTTTGTGGTTTTGGCTCTCAGGAACAAGGGCAGAAGACACTGGTGAGTTCCAATGGTCTCCTCCCACACTGAAGAGCCAGAAATGACTCCAAGGCTGGCAAGAGCTGAAAGGTGGGTTGGTCTGCCTCTGGCTTACAAGCCTAATATCCAGATTCTGGATATATCCTGGCTGGCAGCATCGGGAATGGGACTTGCAGGATAAGCAGTGTGGTGCCGAGGGTTAAGTCTCTGTTTAAGCCACTGGAGTCCCATATCAGAGTGTGGGTTCAAGCCCCAGCTACTCTGACCCTTAGCCAGATGCCTACTAATGAGTTTGGGAAGCAACAGATAATGGGCCAAGTTCTTGGACCTCTGCCACCCACTTGGTAGACCTGGTTCAAGTTCCTGGCTCCTAGCTTCAGCCTGGCTGAGTGGTGGCTGTTGCAGCCATTTGGGGAGTGAACCAGCATGAACCAGTAACCAGTGGATGGGAGATCGCTCTCTGTTTATCTCTCCCTATTTCTCTCTCTCTCTCTCTCTCTCTCTCTCTCTCATTCTGCATTTCAGATAAATAAATAAATAAATCTTTTTTTTTTTTAATGAACAGGACATGTCATTGTGAGAAATTATTCTTCTACCAGTATGATAGGCTATATGTGTTAAAGCAATTACTAGGACATCCAAAACAAGCAACTATTAACAGAAAATGAGTTTTTTTATATATTAACAGATGAATACAGGTCACATAAAGCGAGGCCAATTGCTTTCTGGAGTTCCAAATGGCTTTCAATGCCAGTGTTCCCTCTTCATGTCTTGGCTCCTTCCAAAAGGGAATTGTGTGTGATACAGCCATTTGTCTATGATTCTTTTTGAAAATGTGTCTTTTTTGATTTTATCTTTCAGAAGCAATTCTGAAACTCCTTACCGTTCAAGGGGTAGTTTATAATTTCCCTTAACCCTGTACTCTCCTGCTGCTGCAATATGATTGGCAAATTGGAGCAAAAACGTGGGAAAGCAACATAGCATTTGAAACACAGAAATGCAAGCCTCTGCAGTTTTTTGGGAAAGGGTCTCACAAATACTTTTCACTTATTTCAACTCTGTTTGAAAATAAAACTTCTCTCCCTTAGCCTAGAAATTTTTATGAAAATGGGAACCCACACTTTTCTGCTTTTATTTTTTCATTTATCTCGATTGATCTGTCTTTTGGATCTCCTAAGACTGCAATCTCAGTTGTTTTCTTAAAAATTTTTATTGGCTTTTCTCTTCTCAGATCATCTTTTCCCTTAGCCAAAATTTTTCTTACTTACCCTAACTTATTAAGTATATGTTTCTTCTGATTATTTCTCTCTTTTTAAAAAGCTTTATTTATTTATTTGAAAGTCAAGTTACAGATATGCAGAGGCAGATAGAGAGAAAGAAAGAAAAGTCTTCCATCTGCTGGTTCACTCCCCAGTTGGCTGCAATGGCCAGAGCTGTGCCAATCCAAAGCCAGGAGCCAGGAGCTTCTTTTGGTTCTCCCACGTGGGTGCAGGGGCCCAAGGACTTGGGCCATCTTCTACTACTTTCCCACGCCATAACAGAGAGCTGGATAGGAAGTGGAGCAGCTGGGTCTCAAACCGGTGCCTATATGGGATGCCCACACTGCAGGCAGCAGCTTTACCTGCTACACCACAGCAGCGGCCCCTCATTATTTCCCTTTTTAAAATAAGTAATATCATTTCTTCATAGAGTTAGAGTGCAACTTCCTCATTAAACTTTCATACAATATTTATTTATTTGTAAACAAGAATGAAAGACAGTGAGAGAAAGAGAGAGATAGAGATCTTTCATCTGTTGATTGATTCCCCAAACAGCCTTAACACTCAGCTCTGGTCATTCTGAAGTCAGTAGTCTGGAACTGCAACCAGGTCTTCCACATGGGAGGCAGGAATCCAAGTACTTGGGCCATCTTCTGCTGCTTTCCCAGGTACATTAGCAAGAAGCTGGATTGGAAGTGGAGTAACTAGGACTTAAGCCTGCACTCATATGGGATGTCAGTGTCAAGGTCACAGTGCTGGCTCCCATTATTCTCCTGTCAATGCACTTTCTAGAAGCATAGTGGAAAGTGTGAAGAGACATGCTGAACAGAGCTGCAACATTACCTAATTTTCAAAAGCAGTGATTCTGTTCCAGATCAGACTCCTCAGACATAATTAACAAATACTGTTCCAGTTTCCTCCTTTAACAAGTTGATCTTGTTTTTCTTGGGGTGCCAGTCTTTGAAGACATCTTACTCCTTTTTAACTCATGCTTTTCTCTTCCATTTGTTAAATTTGAGAGAGAGAAACATATGGAATTGCGAATCTCAGTATTATAACAGGATTATCGTAAAAGGGACAGATTTATACGATCTGAAGAGAAACCAGAGTATATAACAGGATTATCGTGACATAGCAGGGGAAGTTAGAGAGTGGAAGAGAGAGAAGTAGAAACAGCTAACTCGAAATTCTGCCACCTTGAAGTGTTCGTCAAGCATCTATTATCAGTCCTGTGCATGAGGACACCCCCATGTCACTACAGCAGCAGGCCCAGATAATAATCGAGGTGCTGTGGCAGCTGCCTGACTCAAGGAATGGGAACACAACACGCCCCAAAGTAATAAAATTCCTTATTAAAAGGGAAGAAATCTTTGCCCGGCCCTTCACGGTCCCCCTGAGACTGACAGGCAATTCGACTGTTTATTTTTACTTAGCTCCAATAAATGACTCTATTTCATTCAGCTTCATAATAATTTGGCCGTGCACACTGCTACTGGCACCAAGAGGAAGTGTAAGCGAAGGGCATCATTAGAGGCATTCCACAGCAATCTTGGTGAAATTACATTCTTTGGAAACTAAATCAAGCCTTAGTTTCATGTAGTGGAACCTGGACAAGAGGAGAGTAATGTGAAATTGGTTGAATTATTCCTAGCTCTCAAGGCATTAGACAAGGTTAGACAACCAAATTTTAAATTATACTTTTACTCTTGTGTGTACCCTATCCATAATAAGGAGTTAATGAGCATATTGATATTTACAACATGTCTGTTTCTTTTTAGAGATCATATTTTCATTACATTGTGCAATTGTGGGTATACAAATAGAATGTTATTTTGTGAATGGTTTTATTGTCATTACTTGAACTATAAAAAGATTTTACTTCTCATGTGGGATCTGTCCTTAATGTGTTGTCCAATGTGAAGTAATGCTATAACTAGTACTGAAACAGTATGTTACACTTTGTGTTTCTGTGTGGGTGCAAACTGATGAAATCTATACTTAATATATACTAAATCGATCTTCTGTATATAAAGATAATTGAAAATGAATCTTGATGTGAATGGAATGGGAGAGGAGTGGGAGTTGGGAGGGGTGCGAGTGGGAGGGAAGTTATGGGGGGAAAGCCATTGTAATCCATAAACTGTACTTTGGAAATTTATATTTACTAAATAAAAGTTAAAAAAATAAAATAAAAAGAAGATTTTAAGTACAGTCATCCAAATACTAAATAGACCCAAGGAAAAAATGTCTTCTGTCTATATTTTTTCCCTTCTGGTTTGAATAAGTTCAGTGGGTTTCCTAATGCAGTGTTTCTTGACCTCTCTCCTCTTTTAGGGCACACATGCTGGAGTCTATTTCAAAGGTTGTTGCCCTCTATGTACCAGCATTACAATTATTCATGAGGTAATACACAAAACCTACTTAATCATCACTAAAAATCTTCTGATGACCTCCCATTCTTACAGCAGAGTCCAAATCTTCCTTGCTTTCATTGTCCAGATGTTTCTACCATTCTCTGCTGAAGCCATGCTGCCCTTCTAGCTTCTTTGGGGTGTCAGAAATGTTCCCAACTCTGGGCTTTTCTATTTTTATCCCTCGTTCTCACGGAGAAACTTCTTGCTCCCATGACCTCCCCGGTGTCTTGCTCCTCTTACTACATCAGGTCTCTGTTGAAATGCCATCCCCATGGCCCTCAGAAAGCCATCCCAAACTGTTCCTTTCAAAACAATTTATCCAGCCCAAACCATTATTTTCCTATTTACTTTCCACAAATCAATAATCTCCATGTGAAACTCCTATATATGAGCATACATGGGGATGTGAAAAAGTTGTAGAAAAATGGGGTTAAAAGGTAAGTCTATATTTTTTGAAACTCATACGTAATTTCTTTTGTATTTGTATTTGCATTTCCCATTAACTTTTTGAAAACTTCATGTGTGTGTGTGTGAATATATCATACTAATTGATGAACTCTCTTCTTGGTATAGGGTTAACCTTATGAGTATAAAAATTAACTGAAAATTGATCTTTGTAAAACATAATAGGAAAGGAAGAGGAGGAGGAAGAAAGGCAGAGTCTGGGTGGGAGGGAGATGGGTGAGGAAGAAGCATTATGTCCCCAAATCTGTATCTATTAAATGCATGAAGTTGCATTCCTTAAACAAAATAAATTTTTAAAAAATTCAATTTCAATTACCACCCTACGTTATGCTTCCAAACAAACAATAAACTTGATGACTTTGAGTGTCTTATTCACTGCTGTCATTTCAGCACCTGGAATGGCACTTGGCACAGACTGAGGGTGTCCATAGATCTGCCAAATCAATAAATGAATACGAGAAAGAGAGACATTGTGCCATGACAGGAAAGTTAAAATGATGCTTAACAAACCCCAGCCAAGTACCTCAGACTCTGTCCTTAACCCTCTTATGCAAGAATGCATATTAGAACATAATTGAATGGCAGTGATAACAATAAAAGAATAGCCATGAATGCTTTGCTATTTACTTAAAAAACAACCTTGATTTCAAACTTCGTTTTTTAAACTTCTACTGCTAATGATTTGCTTCCCAGTGTGCTAACAGCGTGTTCTAACATCTGTCTTAAGGGACCCATGGTGTGAATGCAATTGTGACTGAATCAGGGTGACAAACTTACATTTTATTCCTCTGTGAACACTTTAATTACCTTTGTATTCTCACACATAAAATAACCAATATCTAGCATCTAACTCTAGCTCATTTGTGAAGTCAATAGGAAGTACATAGATGACTGAATGTGTTCCTCTGGCGACCAAACACACCAACCAAGCTAGGTCAGCTTGGAAGGGTTGCTGTCAGTCGAGTCCCCTGTGTCTCATTAAAGGTTCTGCAAAGATCAGTGTGATAAAGTTTCCAAATGTGAGAAACCTACAGCAACATTTTGGTTGAAATATTTGACATCTCCTTTAAGCATTTCCTTTTTTTTTGTGACTGAATACATGGACATAATGGATAGGATCTTTAAACTCTAAGAGAAAAGATTGTACATTGGAAGATAAGATATTCTGGGATGAGGAACATCATAACCTTTTCTGTGAATTTGTGTTAGTGCACTGAACACAGTTCTGATGTTATCTGGGACAATCTGGTGGGTATTTTCTCTAGGCAGCTCTCTCAAAGCATGCAATACTTTCTCTTTTTCACATGACTGGCACATGCATGTAAAAGTTTACATTATTAAAGAATGTGCTGTCAAGATTTGGTGACAGTAGCATCATAGAATTGCTGCTATCATATATTTGGAGCATTGTAGATACTTACTTAAAAATAATTTGTAGGCTGATACTGTGATGCAGCAGGAGTCTAACAAAAAATATTATTCCACGGGTCAGCACTGTGGTGCATTGGGTAAAGCCACTGCCTGCAGCACCAGCATCCCATATGGCCACTGGTTAGAGTCCCGGCTGTTCCATTTCTAATCCAGCTCTCTGCTAATGTGCCTGGGAAAATAGCACAGGATGGCCCAAGACCTTGAGACCCTACATCCATGTGGGAGACCTGGGTGAAGCGCCTCCTGGCTTTGACCTGGCCCAGACCTGGTTGTTGCAACCATTTGGTGAATGAACCATCAGATGGATGATCTGCCCCCCCGCCCCGTATTTTCCTCTCTCACAGTAATTTTGACTTTCAAGTAAATAAATAAATCTTTTTAAAAATACAATGATTTGTACTGGTTCAGTGTCATGGTGCAGCAGGTTAAGCTGCCACCTGCAACGCTGGCATTGCATATGGACAGTGGTTCTAGCCCCAGCTGCTTGAATTCCAATCCAGTTTCCTGTTAACATTTTTGGGAAAGCAGCAGAAGATGGCCCTAGTACTTGAGCCCCTGCAGGGGAGGGCTGCCAATTTCCATGTGGAAAATTTGTATAAATCTCCTGGCTTGGGTTTACCCCAGCCCTGGCCTTTGTGGCCATTTGGGGAGTGAACCAGTGGATGAAAGCTGCCTTTCTGCCTTTCCCCTTCCCTCTCTGTAGCTCCATGTTTCAAAAAATTAAAAAGAAAAAAACCAGAACTTACAAAAAGGTTTGTAAGGTGCTACTAAACAGTTTCAAGTAATGTCCCAGAGTTAATTCTTGCTATAAAAAGAGGATGTTTTGCAATTTATTTAAGTAGTCTTGCTTCATTCATGTTTTTTTGTCACCAGAATGTAATTAAGTTACTGCTTAAAAAGATGGCATTGGCTTGGGACCTTTCAAGAAAACAGAGCTTGAGAAATCTCTGGGAAAATCTATTTATTATTATGCAGGAGATGATGATACCTTTGTGTTGGGGAACCCCAGTTCACACACAGAAGTGTACTTCAAAAAGTTCAAGGAAAATTAAAACTGAAAGAGCAGTTTATTTTGTAACAAAAATTTTTGAAATCGTGTTTAGGTTTCCCATAATGTTTACAAAAATTTTATTTAATATTTTTCATTTTATTTGAAATGAGATAGACAGAAAAGAGAAATATCTTCCATCAGTTGATTCACTCCTCAAACGCCTGCAACATCCAAGACTGTTGCAGGCTGAAATCAGAATCCCTAAACTCACTCTAGGTCTCCCATGTTGGTGGAAGGGAATCATGTACTTGAGCCATCACCTGCCTCCCAGGGTAAGCATTAGCAGGAAGCTGGAATTTGAAATGGAGCTGGGATTCAAACCCAAGCACTCTAAAATGCGATGTCAACATCACAAGTGATGTCTCAACTCCTGCAGCAAACATCCACCTAAGGTTTTTCATGAACTGTTTGAAGATATCTCATAGTTTTGTTATCAATATGGCAAATTAAGCTATTAATTATGATACTACTGCATATTATGTATTTTGAAATAAACAGTAGTGAGTATTACTCAGTGTCTCAAGAATGAAAAATTAAATATTGTTTGTGTATTAATATAGCCCATGTATAACAGGCAAAAATTTCTCCTTGGACCACAGTATAGGTGATTTATGTGCAGTTTTTGCTTCTGTTATTTGATTTTTCTTCATTACATAACACTAACATGAATCAGATTCATGATTACTCTTGATTGCAGATGAAGAAATTAGGACCCCAGTGAACGCAACGGTTTGTCCATCACACAGTGGGCACTGAGGCCAAAGGCGGGACTCTAAGTAACGCTCCATTCCCCCCTCTTCTTTCAGTGGTTTGTGGTGTCTTTGTTATATGGGAGAAAAAGGCAGATGCATTCCATATTTCTTCTTATTTACATGATTTTCTGTGTTACCTAGATGCTCCTCCTGCTCTGACTTTGGGATGCTGGTTACTGGAAAAGCAGACATATGGACTCAAGATGTCCTACTGGGCTCCCACTCTGAGTCAGGAGTGCACAGAGGCAGCTGCACCATTTACAGCCTAATTGCTAGTGTCGTAGATCACAGGATGCCCAAAGTTCACCGGGAGGAGATGAAGATGTCAGAGAGGACCCCTGAAGAGACACATCAAAAGCTTCCCCTTTCTGACTTTCTTGATAAGGACTCCAAATGTGTACTGAGGGTTGTGTGTTGTTATGGCGACCAGAGGGGAACAACTTGGGATGTAAAGGAAGAAAATAAGTTGGAAAGAATCACATCTTCAAAATCTTTCCATATGACATATTTCTGAAATAATGGTACGTTGAAGGATGTGCAGGTAGGCTGTAGGGTGAGGGTGGACTTTGCAGAGTTAAGTTCCAATTTTCTTTTTATGAAAGAAAAAAGTGCATAGAGTCCAAGTATAAGCTCTGACACTCCAAAACCTAGTTTCATAGCTAGCCTCTGCTAATTCCCTGCACTGAAGTCTTGATGTGGTCACTTGATCACTCTGGACCTGTCAAAAGGAGATAATGTTCTGAGGATTAAATGAGTCCGCCATCACTTTACCAAGCATTCACATTGCGCATAAGTGGCCAATGCATTTTTGGTTCTCAGGATTTCCTTTTTTTCATAAGAGGAGTCCAGCCTATGGATAACATGCAGGTTCAGGAGTCAATCTTTTTTTAGTCACCTGATGCTGGGCAAGCCACTCACCTTTCCAAACCTCAACTTTCCCATTTGTAAACTGGGGATATTTGTATTGGATATTTCATAAAGCTTCCTTAAAATAATGGAAAAAATTCCCTTACATGTAAGAAATCTAACACTATCTACCATATTGTAAATGCTTAACAATATGAGCTTTTATTATTCCAGGAAATTGTAACTAGCAAGGTGACAGGATATAGGGAGAGGGGGTGGATAGTGAAATAATGGTTCTCTGTTTTGCTTGAAGCAGGATTTTTCTTCTAGAATATGAATTGCTACTAAAGAAAAATAATCTTTGAATTTCCCCTTATCCAGTCTTACAAACTATTATAGAAACAGTACATATGAAAAAATGTATTTGTAGAAAGAATATCTTTATCATCGTATCATATATAATGTTGAACTATTATCTTAATGATTGCCATGAGAACATTTAAAAATACCCAACAGCTCTCACTGGTCAATAATTATATGGTGAAAATTATATTGAAAAAGGATTAAAGTGCAATGTCTCTCAGTTCCTTAAATTGAAATTTTATGACTCAATGGTTATCACCTCATAATGGTATATTCTTTGTATGTACATTGAATTGATGTTCTTAACTATTCACTGCCTTCCAAGAGCCAAGCACGCATTCCTGTTTTGATGATGCTGTATTTGGCCATATGACATTTTGATCAAGGGCAGGTTTTGAGAAGACATGTGCGTTATCTGGCACATTACTCATAACCTGAGATCCTGCTTTCTGCTATACAGCAGCAAGTTCTAGAGAATGAAAGGCCTCTCTTTCAGAGGAGTCACATGTAACCCAAAAGTGCCAAGCAGAACCTGGCAAAATCAAAACAGATCTGCAGCTGTCTTCAAATGTGAACCATAAATTGAATATTTGCTTTTGCAAGCCACTAGGAGTTAATGGTTGGTTGTTGTTGCAAAAATCAAACAATAAATATATAACTATATATAGAGGAATTAATATTCCTATTTGGCAGAGGAGCAACAAAATCAAATATGGTAAATAACTTGCCACAATAATTTTTGGTCAAATCGGGATTCAACTCAAGATGATCTGTCTCTAAAATGTTAGACAACATGGAATACTGTAGTCTAAGGATGGAATCTATTAGGGAAAGCTCTATAATGTGAGGTTTTAAAGGTGAAACATGGACAAAATCTAACATTTCATATGCTCCCACCTAAGAATGCTCAATGTATTTATTAAAAAAATAAATGAAGCAAAGCACATATATTCTGGACAGATCCAAAAGAACATAATAAATATTGAGAAAAAATAAATATTTCTAGGGCCAAATCTTTTGTTAAATTGCATTTATGTAGGTGACCCAGACACACACACAACAAAATCTATACTGAATTCCACTCAAACTGGATTACATTCTCATGGATGAATTGCTGTTTGGCTTAGTGGCTAAGATGCCTACGGCCCATATAAGAGTACCTGACTTTGATGTCCAACTCTGGTCCCGACTCCAGCTTCCTGCTAATGAAGACCCTGGTAGGCAGTGGTTATGGTTAAAATAATTGAGTTCCTGGCATCTGTGTGACCTGTACTGAATTCTCAGCTCCTGGCTTCAGTCTGGCTAAGCCAGGGCCATTGTGGGTATTGGGAGAGCCAACCAGTGAATGAAAAATATTTCTTCCTGTTTAAATCTATCTCTCAAATAAATAAATCAAATATTATTTAAATTTGTAAGGAGAAAAGAAGTCAGATTTTTAGTTAAATTCCTTTCAATTCTTAGCAAGGTCCCCACGGACCCTTCTGTATAAACTGTGGCCTTAAGAAAGGCCTCTGGGCCTCCTTGACTTTCTCTAGTTACCCCTGCTTTGAGGATTTCTCTTCATTTGAGAAATGAATAATTCAGAGTTAGAAACTCTACAGTGAGTCTCAAAATCCCCAGCCTCCCAACTTGGTCATATCCTCATTATGGGAAAAGCCATTCCAAAAGGCAAACAGCTTTTCATAATTGTTATTTAATGGATATTGCCTGCTCCTGGGATTTCTTCCTCAGTATCTATTTGTAATTCAAAGGTCAGCATAATACCACTGGCATACACAAGGATTCTAAGAGATTTGTTCTTCCTGATTGAAATTCAGATACAGTGACACAGTAGATTAGTCTAGTTGCCTCTTTGGTGGTGTGGGTCATAGTTAGCAGGAATCTCTCCTTATCATAATTCTGGGTGAACCCAGTTACTAGAAAAGACCCATGAATGTGGAATACAGCTGGAATACTCGTAGGGCCTAAGGGGGATATCACCAAGCAGGAAAGCTTCCTATTCTCCTATGGCTATTGTCTCTCCCGTTAACTGAGCCTAATATCGCCTAAATGTGTTTCTCCTTAAGATAATTTAAGCAGGAAAAGGTGGCCCCAGAGAGTATTTTTGGCCTCATGCATGTACTTATTTGCTGGATTTATATGGCACTCTACACTTAATTAGTGATGGCAGTCTCATTTCAAGATATTATACATTGAAATATTATTCAACAAGAAAGCTATTTTACCAAGTGGGCATGCATGATGATTATTTATTAGTTTAAAATACCTCCCTTTTTCCCTTCTCACCAAACGCCACTTCCATTTTGAATAAGCTAGAAGCATTCATACACTAAGTTTATGCATAAAGATTGGCTGCTTTCAGGTACTTGTAGCTTGAGCTGTAAAGGAGAAAAACATCATAAAAGTCACAGCATTTATGGTAAATGCTTGTTTACCTGAAAAACGGAGGCAAATTAAAAATCACAAAGGACAAATGCCAGCATGGATTGGATATGTGTGTGTATGTATGGGTGTGTGTGAGGGTGTGTGACTATGTATGTGTATATGAAAGAGAGAGAGGGAAAGACAAAGAGTTTTCATTTTCTTCTTTCTATTCTATTTTATAGCGTGATATTTGGAGTTCACCGTTGAGGTTATTTCCAATCAAATTTCATTCAACCCTAGCCCAATGTATAGGTTGTTAGCATGGATACTACTGGGTTATGGGCCACATATCCTGTAGGTTTAAATGGAGGATATAAAACTCACTTCTATAAGGTCAAAATAATTCCTCCTCCCCCAGAGAACATGATAGTAATTTTGAAGACAGAAGTTTAAAAGGGAGCAGTCAGCAGTACTTAAAATAAAATCTAAGAGAGCAGTTCAAATTTTTGAACACAACAGGCAAGGTCATGGGATCAGTTTTCTGCATGAAACTCTGACCCTGGTGGCACGCACTGCCTTCCAATACCCTTCACCCTGCATAGCATCATCACTTCACCAAGCAGTCATGTTGATTTGTTGGCTTTTGTTCAGATTACAGCTTACACATTGAGGGTGGATGAGTCTGAATCAGAGGGTAGACATTTTGTTTCTGAACCTTAAATACCCAACATTTTAAAAGATGTTAGCAGAGAAAGCTTTCCTTAAGGTTAACAGCAACTGAAAACTGTCATACAGAGGGCTCACCATGTGACAGATGCTGTGTGAAGAGCTTTACATGCATCATCCATGATGTAGAGATCAAAGCTACATAAAAATCTATTGCACACATCATGGGTCACTGTGAGACACTTATCGTTTATTATCCAGTGGATCCTTGAAAAGTGTCTAAACTCACTGTTGCCAATTTTTCTCCTCCTGTTCTCACTTTCAATTCACTCAGATTATCACCTCCTTCATTTCAATCTAACTGCTTTTGTCAAGGTCACCAGTGGCTGCTGTGGTGGTAAATCCAAGGGTATTTCTTAGAATTCATCTTTCTTGACCTATCAGCAGCATTTGATGCACTTTTTGTTGCTTTTAATTTGTCATTTCAATGGAGAATAGAATGAAAGTGTGATATGAGACAGTTCCTGAGAAATTTCAGTTGGAACTCTCCTTCTGAAAAAAAATAAAAAGATATGCTGGCAAAAGTAGGGCATGGAATGGACAGAGAAAAAAACAAGCAGAAAAAATGGCCATGAAGTGCCATGAGGCTGATCTAAGGCTTCAGGAAAGCTCTCTAAGACATGGATGAGCCATGTGGTAAGATTAATGTTTCCCATTCCCTTGGAAAACTTTGTGTGAGGAAAAATAATAATAAGCATTCTTATTGAAGTTTATTTGTGTGCTAGGCACTGATTTAAATAAATTATATGCATTAATTCATTTATTCTTGGGCAATCCAGATTCTTATGCCCATTTGACAGATTGAAAACTGAAGCAAACAAAAGTTAAAAACATTCTCAAGGTCATTTGTTTAGTAAGTCAATGTGTCATGATTTGGACCAAGATAATGATAACCATTGTCCCTATTTCATAGCATTTGAAGTCAGCCATTTACCCGGGAACATCTGAGCAACATGCTGAAAAGTTAGATCCTATGAAAATGATTAAAAATACACACACATACAATAATACATGGTTCAGTTGTGTTACATTCAGTTGTGTTAACAGAAGTGTGCTACATTGGAAATTTTCCAGCCACTCTGCCATGTGCTTCAAATGGGTTCACTTAATTCTCACAACAACCCTGTGTGGTATAATTACTGATATATTCTCCATTTTACAGATGAAGAAACTGAGTCACAAATGATTGTCCCTGGATCACAGAGCTCATCGGCACTGAGTTTAATAGGCATCTGGGAGATTCTATTTTCTTAATGCTTTGCATGTATATAATTTAATAATAAAAATAATAAATCCATGTATTGTGACTCTTTTTTCAGTTAGGAGGTAATTTTAAAATGTTGTGCATACTTAAAAAAAAACTTGAGTCTATTGGTCTAAGGAAGGAACCAAGAAAACTTTTCTATAAATGGTCATACAGCAAATTTTGTGGCTATGCAGTCTCTAATCTAGGTACCCATCACTGCTGCTGCAGCAGCCAGGCAGCCACAGAAATTACACAGACGAATAGGCATGGCTGTGTTTCAGTAGGACTTAGATGACAAAAAGTGGTGGCAGAATGGATCTGGTTAACGGGCTATAGTTTCCTGACCCTACACTAGTGCAGTGAAACTGGTGCTGTTTTGTTAACTAGTATCCTGTTTAATGAGAATAGCTCAAAGCAGCTTCATGACTGTAACAGAGAATTTTACTTGATCATAATGCAACAATTCTTACTTTTGTTTTGAGAATAAAAATCTACCTTTTTTAAAGCTAGACACATGATGGCCTGGAGTTTAACCTGATCCCTTGCAACAAGCTATGACCATGCAATAGATTCTCATTAATGAGATATAAGCAAATGTTATATGTATATCTTCTAAAAATTACTTGCATAAGGAAAGAGAATATACTCTGTCTTGTGGGCTGATCTATAGATATAATTTCTGGAGTTCCAGCAGCTATCTTGAAGCAAGAGGTCACTTTTAGAAAGAAACCACACCTGGTGCAGCAGAAAGATGTAAGAAACCCATGTCCTGAAAACCTTGGGGAGCAAGGCATCCTATATCTAGGATTCTTTTATATGAAAGAGAAATATACCTCTATTTTTGTAAACTTGCTACTATTTGAGTTTTCAGTCACACTTACCTAATCTAATGCTGCTTGTGGCAATGGCCGTGTGTGTGTGTGTGTGTGTATCCCTCTTAACTACTCATATATATATATATATATATATATATATAGGATGCACTTGTTTCATGATACTAGGAAGATGACAGGATGGGAAGGTGTTGTGACCTAAGAAAAGAACTCTGAACTTGAAATCATAAAACCTGGCCTTGCTGCTCACTGTGTGATTCTTAGCAAGTTGTTTTAGCATCACTGACAGTTTCCTTATTTGAAAATAGGGTGGCTACAGCTAATTCACAGCCATGCTGTAAGGCTAAAGCAAAATAAAATATGTGAAGATGATTATATAGTAAACATTTGTAAAATATATAGATGCATATAAATATGTATATAATTGTATTCATGTATATAATTTTTGTGACTATTAGAGATATACTCATATATATGGAAAGACAGTGATGAACACTGAAGTATTAACATTAGTTACCTCAACACAGTGAGATTAAAGACAATGTGAGGGACAAGCATTGACCTGTGTCCCATATTGATATGCCTACATTCAAGTCCTGGCTCCATTCCCAATTTCAGCTTCCTGCTAACATGTATCATGGGAGGCAGCACTGGTGGTTGGAGTAATTGAGTCCTTGCAAAAGCTGGATTGATTTCCTATTTACTGGCTTCAGCCTGGCGTAGCCCTGGCTGTTGCAGATATTTGCTGAGTAAAACAACGGATATGGGGTCTCACTCTGTCTCTGTGTCTTTTTCTCTAGCATTCAAATAAATTAATTTTTTTTAATTTCAAAAAATACATATAAGTGTGAATGGAGATTTTGATTTTATCTTTACATATTTATATATTTATTACAATGAGCATATTTACAAAATAAAATAATGAGTGCAAATAAAGAGAACTGCATATGAATATGTATGCAAATATGTATATGTATATGCATATCTAGCATGATAAAAGGCAAATACAGAACCCATGTTTGCTGAAACCCAATATGATAAGCTTCAGGAAACATCAGTTATTGCAGATAATTTTCTTTTGACTCACAAGAGGAAGACAGAAAGTAGAGAAGGGAAATGTTAGGGAATTTAACTAAGGGGTATTCTCTCAAGTATGATTACTCTGAATATATAATAGTCACACTATATGACTCACAATTTCCTGAAGGTTTTTAGACGTTTCTGGGCTCTGCATACACTGACCTATGCTGTTCCTTCCAACATGGAATTTTATTCCCAGCTTCACACACTTTGGCTCATTTTTAAACTCTAATATATTTTTATGAAGGCTATTCCAGTTCCCTCAACTAGGATACCATTCTTTGTAATTCTCCATACACTAAAAAATGCCTACCATACTATCTTATAGTTATTTACTTATATGTTTTTATTCCAATGTAGAATGAGCAGCAAAGACATCTCCTCTTTCTCACTCATTCATTCAAAGTTCTTTTTTAGTGCCTTTACATCAGATGAAGTTTTATATTCAGGGATTATAGTAGTGGACAAAATAGACAATCATCCTCCCCTCATGAAGCTTAAATTTCACTGTGGGAGACTAAAACATAGATATAAAGTTAAATATCTATACAATATCCGATTCGGACAAGTGTCAGTGGGTGAGAAGGGTTCCAGGAGGGGATGATTTTGAGTTTTAATTTTAGTTTTAAGAGTTCTTTCTTTTAGTGGAAGAGAGATAGAGAAGGGGAGAGAGAGAGAGAGAGCACATGCGCTCCAATCTGACAGTTTACTCTCCAAGTTCCTGCAATGGCTGGGGATGCCCTGAAGTTAGAGCCAGAAGGGGGAAACTCAATCAGGCCTCACACGTTGTTGGCAGAACAATTACTTGAGCCATCCCTGCTGTCTCACAGGGTCTGCACTAGACAGAAGCTTAAGTCAGGAGCTAGAGAAGGATGTTGAACCCAGGCACAAGTGTGGGACTCAGATGCCCTAACTGCTAGGCTGAATGTTCATCCTCAGGACATACATTTTAGGTAGAATATTTTTCTTGTCCCAACTGCTCCACATCCTATCCAACTCCCTGCTAATGCACCTGGGAACGCAGCAAAAGATAGCTCAAGTTCCTGGGCTCCTGCACCTTGTGTGAGACATAGAGAAGGCTCCTGGCTCCTGGCTCCTGGCTCCTGGCTCCTGGCTCCTGGCTCCTGGCTCCTGGCTCCTGGCTTAGGCTCAGCCTTGTGGCCATTTGGGAAATGAGCCAGCAGATGGAAGATCTCTGTCCTCTCCCCCCTCTCTCTGTAACTCTGCCTTTCACATAAATAAAGCTTTTGAAAAAAAATTCAGTTCTTAAATGAAGTGTTGTGATTCTTCTTTAAAAGGTTAAAAATCTTCCAAAAACTTCTAAGACACTGAAGAACAGGGAGGAAAGACCTCCCTCCACGTGTCTAAGATGTTTAACAGTGGTGAATTATGGTACTGAGGGTATCTTTAGAGTGCTTTAAAAGTCACTGCAAGAGTATTTTCACTTCACATAATACAAAACACAGCTTAGATTAGCAAAAAACAACATCAAAAATGTTTATAGAATTTTAATATCAGGGCTGGTGTTGTGGTGTAGTGGGTAAAGCTTCTGCCTATAATGGCAGCATCCCATGTGGTTCATGTCCTGGCTGCTCCACTTCTAATCTAGCTCCCTCCTGATAGCCTGGGAATAGCAGCAGAAGATGGCCCAAGTACTTGGGCCCCTGCCACTCATGTGAGAAGCCCAGATGGATTTCCTGGCTCCTGGCTTTTTCTAGCTCAGTGCTGGCCATTGAGGCTATTTGCAGAGTGAACCGGCAGATGAAAGATCTCTCTGTGTCTCTCCCTCTCTGTCTATAATTTGGACTTTTAAATATATAAATAAATCTTTTAAAATAAGAAATTTTAATATCAGTGATTTGGGAGAAACATTCTGTGTGTTTGTATAAATTTTAGATGACGTAGTATATCTTTGGATAGCATATGGTTATGTTAATATCATGTAAAATGATGACAAATAATGTTTGCTACCTTTCTTGTTAAAAAGGATAATACAACTAAATTTAACCATGATGGCTATTTTGCTAGTGGGACTTCTAAATATTCTGTGAATCATTTTGATAGTTCACATAAAAGAAAAATATAAAAGCTTGTAAGTATGATAAAAATCTTGCATTATTCTCCAGAAAAGGAGTGTTGGTGTAATAGGAAACTAAAATTTGATACATTACTTCCAATCACGGTCTTTACATCACTTTTAAGACTGTAAAGCACATGTAGTCAGGCCCCTGGATCAAGACTGTTTAGATTTGACACTGGGATTGTTCTGGAACATCTTTTTTATTTTTTTAAAGAGCTGCTAATTATTTATTTATTTATTTATTTGACAGGTAGAGTTATGGACAGTGAGAGAGACAGAGAGAAAAGTCTTCCTTCCGTTGGTTCACTCCCCAAATGGCCGCTATGGGCTGGAGCAACGCTGATCCGAAGCCAGGAGCCAGGTGCTTCCTCCTGGTCTCCCACGAGGGTGCAGGGGCCCAAGTACTTGGGCCATCCTCCACTGCCTTCTCGGGCCACAGCAAAGAGCTGGACTGGAAGAGGAGCAACCGGGACTAGAACCCGGAGCCCATATGGATGCCAATGCCGCAGGTGGAGGATTAACCTAGTGAGCCACAGCGTCGGCCCCCTCTGAAACATCTTATTTGAATAGTACTTTAAAGGGCAATCCTCTCCCCATGTAAACCTACGTTATTTTATTTAATAGGGATTTCTGCTCCTTTTACAGTCATTTCAACAAGTATTTGCAGCTTCTTCTATGCCTTCGCGAGCATTCCCCTCTAAGGGATCAGAGGTCATGCAGACAGAAAAACAAGGGGCACCTGGCCTGGGCTTCCTTTCCACTCTGCACACTTTGTGTTCTCTTCCTCTGAACAAGATTCCAGGTTATAGTCTACAGACCCTTGCCATTGGATACTAATGGGGGGAGGGTTGAGTACTAGGAACTCCAGTTGTTCATGCCATGTCTCTAGTCAAACACCATCACTGTTAATCTCCATCTGGTTGATACCTGAGATCATCTCTCAATTGGAACAGATCTCAAGGCAGGTGTGATGGGTCAACTTGACAGGACCACAGACAAATGATCACATAGTATATTAATTATTCTGTGGAGGTGACATTGGATGAGATTAACAATTAAATCAGTGCACTTTGAGTAAAACAGATTACCCTCTCTGTTATGGATGAGCCTCAACTAATCAGTTGAAGGCCTGAATAGTACAGAAGACTAACATCCATCAACAAGAAGGAAATCTGCAGCAGAAAGCTCTTAAACTTGAACTGTGACAGTGACTCTTCCCTAGTTCTCTAATCTACTAGCACATCCTACAGATCTTGGAAAGGTCAGCTTCTATAATTGCTGAGACAATTAAAATCTCCCCTCCTCTCTCCCTCCCTCCCTCCCTCCCTCCCTGTCTCTCTCTCATCATGTGGGTATGTATGCATGTGTGGGTGACTGTACTTTCAGTATGTCCTCCACATGGCTATACCTATATGCAAAGAAGCTGTTATGCACATATACACACACAGATAAGATTTTATACATATATATATATATAGAGAGAGAGAGAGAGAGATTTTGTATCTGTATAAATATTTTTTTCCTATTGATGTCCTATTGGTCGTGTTTCTCTGGAGAATACTGATGAATACAGTGAGGCTGAGGGACTTAACTACTTATCAATTGTCAAATCTCACAATTAACCCAAAGTAAGTGAACTCAGTATATGAAAGAGTTATCTGCACCCCTGTGTTTATAGTATCTTAATTCACAACAGCCAAGATAGAGATTCAACCCATATGTCCATCAACTTATGACTGGAAAAGGAAAATGTAGTACATGTACACAATGGAATACTATTCAGTTATAAAAAATAATAAAATCCTATCTTTTGTTACAAAATATGGGCAATTGGAGACCATTATACTTAGTGAAATAAGCCAAACCAACAAAGAAAAATATCATATGTTTTCTCTGGTTTGTGGTAGTTTATATGTAGAATACAAAAAATGTTATTTATGTGAGTGAAATTGACATGTTGAGATCTGGTTATTGTTTATAGCCCTTGTCTATATTCCTATGGAACAGTGGTCTTTCTACCTTCTACCTGTTGAATTCTTTATTTAGTAGAGTAATAAGCTTGTGACTATAAAGTTAGTTGAAGGTATGTTACAAGAATTAAAAAGAAAACCAAAAAAAGGAAGGAAGGAGGAGGGAGAGAGGGTAGAAAATACCATCAAGTACATATTGAATACATGAAATCTGTTCTCTATATAAATTTTAAAAATTTTTAAATAACCAATTGCTTATATTATAAAACTAAGTAATAAATCTGAAATTTTCTACATGGTACCAATGAGTTACAGATATTCTCATAGAGATGCAAACCTTCACTTCAAGGGAAAATTACACAGCCTTTGCTCAAAACCATGCTGTGCTCCAGTGATCCAGATAGATCCATATTGTGATCAAATCATCTAAGGGTATCACTGCTTTTGATAAACTCCTGGATATGTTAAAATTCAACAAAATTCAATCTTCAACAAAAATTTGACTGTATTTTTAGGGCTCTTCAATTGGTTAAGTATAATCAGAAAAATCTGACAACAAAGATAAGCCATGGGAATCAAGTTGAAGACATACTTCAAAGTTTGGTGGAGTTGGAAGCATACCAGGGGATTCCAATTCAATCCCATCGAGGTGGCATGTACCAATGCCATCTCACTGTTCCAGGTGATCAGTTTCAGTTCACAGTTGGTCATGGTGAAGGGACTGGGAGTCAAAGGGAACACATAGACAAGTCTAGTACCTGCTAACGCTAACCGATGGAGTAAATAAAGGGGAGAGTGATCCAACATGGGAAGTGAGATACTCAGCAGACTCATAGAATGGCAGATGTCCTAAATAGCACTCTGGCCTCAGAATCAGCCCTAAAGGCATTCGGAGCTGGCTGAAAAGCTCATGAGAGTATTTCAGGCATGGAAAGCCAAGACACTCTGGCAAAAGATCTCTGCGAGTGAGATCCCAGTGGAAAGAACAGGTCTTCAAAGAAGGAGGTACCTTTCTCTGAAGGGAGGAGAGAACCTCCACTTTGACTATGACCTTGTCTAAACAAGATAAGAGTCGGAGAACTCAGGGGGCTTCCATAGCCTTGGAAACTCATGACTGGAGCATAGGGAGATTACTGATGCCATAGACAGGAGTGTCAATTGGTAAAGTCAACAACAGGAGTCACTGTGCACTTACTCCTCATGTAGGATCTCTATCCTTAATGTGCTGTACATTGAGATTTAATGCTATAACGAGTACTCAAACAATATATTTCACTTTGTGTTTCTATGGGGGTGCAAACTGTTGAAATCCTTACTTAATGCATACTAAACTGATCCTCTGTAAAAAAAAAAAAGAAAAAGAAAAAAAAAAAAGAAATCATCAATTCCCAACTTGACTCTCACTGGGATTAAACATGACAATAGGTCTGCTCTGATTTCATCATCATTTAAAAAAATCATCTATTATTTTTCACTTTATGTTTCTGTGTGGGAGCAAACTGTTGAAATCCATACTTAATGTATACTAAGCTGATCTTCTGTATATTAAGATAATCGAAAATGAATCATGATGTGAATGGAAGGGGAGAGGGAGTGGGAAAGGGGAGGGTTGTGGGTGGGAGGGACGGTATGGGGGGGAAGCCATTGTAATCCATAAGTCGTACTTTGGAAAATTATATGCATTAAATAAAAGTTAAAAAAAAAATTCTCTTAAGGTTTAAGTTGCTATTTTTTAAGATTTATTTATTTATTGGAAAGGTGGATTTACAGAGAGAGAGAGAGAGAGAGAGAGAGAGGGCTTCCACACATTGGCTCACACTTCAATTGGCCAAAATGGCCAGAGCTGAGCTGATCCAAAGCCAGGAGCCAGGAGCTTCTTCTGGGTCTCCACGTGGGTGCAGAGGCCCAATGAATTGGGCCATCTTCCACTGCTTTCCCAGGCCATAGCAGAGAGATAGATCAAAAGTGCAGCAGGCAGGACTTGAACCAGCGCCCATATGGGATGTTGGCACTGCAGGCAGCGGCTTTACCTTCTATGTCACTGTGCCGGCCCCTAGGTTGCTATTTTAATTCTACAAACAACTGTATAACTAATTGCAGATGTTCCCTGGATTTAAGTTCTAGGTGTACATTATACTTGTAGTTTTAAAGAATAACAAGACTCAAAGGAGGAAGAGATTAATGGACAATATGACTTTAATGAATACAAATATATATTGCAATTTCACAATGGCCAGAGCAAGATGATCAACAACAAGTCTAATAAGTTGCAAAAGCATGAGGAATTTTATGTGATTCATAAAACTGTTGTTCCAGAAAGGTTCTCATAATCCCACATCTGATAAAAACATTCAACATTGCAGCCAAGTGGGTTGGACATCTTAGGTTTCCTTGAATTCTATTATCTTTTTATTAAAAATGTGTCATAAGTTCCATAAATGACTCACAAGTTGTATTTTAGATTAGTTTACAAAGACATTTATGGATGTACCAAATGTCAATAAGGGAAAGGGGGACTATATGGGGAAAAAAATCTAAGCAGTGTAGAGAGGGAGTGAAAGGAGCAGAAATAGCCCTGTTCCAGTAATCCATTGCTGTTCAAATAAGCACACCAAAACATAGCATCTTCAAAGGAAACTATTTTATTGGCTCAGTAGTCTCAACTTCAGTTGGGTTCAGGGGGATGGTGCTTCTGCTAGTCTTATCAGTAAATATTTATGTGCTTGTATTCAGCTGGAAGGTCTGGTTGGAGCTTGACTCCACTGACACAGATGTTTGAGCCTGTCTCTGAATATAAGGTAGTCTTGAAACCTCTTTCTCTTTCTATGTGATGTCTTCAATAAGATAGTAGGATTTTTTAATGTGATAGCTTGAGGCTTTCAAGAGGGCAAAAGCAAAAGCTTCCAGACCTTCTCAAAGCTTAATCCTGAATTGACGCAGTGTCTTTTCTACCACTTTCTATTGATTATGGACCCTACCCAGACATGAGAGGAGGGTTCTACATGAAGGAATGACTACCTAGAAGGATTATTCATTACAGATCACCAATAAAATAGATAACCACAAGGAGAGCCATGTAGGCCTGGAAGCTATAGGATAGGTTGAATAGCCCTTATGTAAAATGCTTGGGACCAGAAACATTTTTAAGGGTTTTCTTCCTTCCCTCCTTTCTCTCTCCTTCCCTCTCTTCCTCCTTTCTTCCTCCTTTCTTCTTTTCTTATTCTTTTTTCTTTCTTTTCTATTTTCTTTTTTCTTTCCTTTTTTCTACATTCTTTTCCTTCTTCCCTTCCTTTTGGATTCTAAAATATTTGCATTGGCAGAATGAGAAATGTTGGGGACAGACACAAGTCTAAATATGAAATTCATTTATTCTTGATATAGACACATGGCTTGAAGGAAATTTCATATTGTGGGGAGCAACTGGGAGCAACTCGGACTAGACTAAATTACTGGAATTAAAACTTATTCTATGCATCTGCTTTCCCGGAATATGGCGCTGAGAAGGGAAACAGCTTCTACACAGCTGCCTCCAGTTCAACCAATAAACTGTGGGACCTGCTCCTGATTGGAGGAGAGCAGCGTACTCGGCGTGTGGGTAGCAGAGTTGGGATTGGTGGAAGAGGACTATAAAGGAGGAGAGAGACAACATGCACCAGGAACATCTAAGAGGAACACCTGTGCAGCCCCCGAGAGAGCCGGCCGGCGGTGTGCCGCTCCCCCGCGGAAGTGGGGAATGTGGCAGGGGGAACCGCCCTTCCACGGAGGTGGAAGGACCAGCAGCCAACCCGGGGAGGGCCGAGCAGACAGAAGAACAGCGCAGGGTCCTGTGTCGTTCCTCCACGAAGAGGGGGAGCGACACATATAATGCATTTAATACTTTTGTGATGAAACCAAGTATCATGATGTGAAAATTTCCACTGTGGCGTTATGTCTGTGTTCAAGATGTTCAGAATAGAGATTTTTGGATTAGGGATGTTCAACTTGTAAGTGATTTGGGTACTTGTATACCTATTCTCTAAGTGGATTTAAATGTTGATAAATTGAATTTAATATTATAAGTAAATAGAAATGCTCCCAGGAACCCTGGAACTATTAAATAATTTTAAAAGTTAGAGATAGAACAAAGTACTTTTTTATAATTTACTTCCTTTATTTTATATACCACCCAATGATAGTTTTTCAAACATTAGCCCCAGTTTGCTGATAAGAAATGGGTTTAATGATGCCAAAATTTTGTTCAGGGTCATACAGAAGAGCCACATTGAAATCCCACTAGTTTTACTCCTGAAAAAATTCTTTAAACAAGCTGCCCTGGATCTGAT